ACACAAGCTCTAAAAATAGGACTGTTGGGAGGGAGCTGCAGCTGGCTCATTAATCAGAGGTCTCATTAATCTGGTTAATCAGAAAAGCTCTCTTATTTATGGTAAATCCAACAGCTGTTTCTTATCTATTTCTGTTCTCCACAGCCTTTAAATGAAACTGCTTCTCAAAGGAAGCCTTCTAGTGAAACACATGTAAATGCCCAGACATCTTCCACCAAACAATATTATTAATTGCAGTTTCACTACACAAGTAGCTTTAACAAATCCATGCAGCAAATCTCCAGCAAGATGCTCTGCCTCAGGGAGTCAAACAGTGTTGACATAACCAGAGGAGTGGCTTACTATACTGATCTATCTAGGGAAAGGCTCCTGCCATTTCCCTTCTACCACGGTGACTGGACACATGGTCCCCACCACTGGAGCGTGGGATCCCCCAGGGCATTCTCTTTGGAACCTCCTTTCTTACTGGATTACCACTCCATCTCCCTGTCTGATGGGTTCCTTTCCAAATCTACCAGAGAAAGACCCATTCAGGTGGCATGGTCAAATATCCTTCTTGACTGATCTGTGTTCAGCCAGCCTGGGAAGAACTACCGTACATACTTGTTCATAAGCCAAATGTTTTTTTTAGTAAAAAAGGGAAGCATCAGAGAAGGGGTTCGGCTTATGAATGGGTAGAGAGAGGGAGAGGTGGGACACAGCCCCTCCCCCCAACAGAGGGGGCAAGGAGAGGCAGCACAGCCAGCAGAGCCAGAAGGGAAGAGGAGGGGCAAGAGTCTCTCTGCTTCTGGCCAGGCTGCTCTCCCCCCAGCCTCCGAAGCAGCTGCAGCTCCAGGGCTGGCAGGCTGCAGCTGCACCACTCGGCCCCGCCCACCGGAGCATGCTGTGGCCATGCGACCCAGCTGCAGCCGCGCCGCCCGGTGTGGCTCCCCGGAGCACGATGGAGCTGCACTGCCCAGCCTGCCGGAGCAGCTCCAGCCAGGCCAGAGATATCCTCCCCTGGCCCTCCCCAGATAAGATGGGAAGGGATGGGATGGGGGGTCCTGGGCTGGGGGGGGGGTCATGTGGGGGATGGTCACAGGGGTTACTCCCCTGACCCCCAGCTTCTCCCCCCCAAAAAATTTCCCCACCAGTTGCTGTCCCGGCCCGTCAGGGTAAGCAGCTGGTGCGCCAGGACAGTTTGTTTACTTAGGTTACCTCTGTGCCTGCGGACGCTCGAGGTAAACAAACCATCTCAGCCCGCCAGCAGCCAAAGTTTGCTGACCCCTGAATGATAGGGTCAGCTTATGAATGGGTCATAAAAATTTTCCATTTTTACTTGTCCATCTTGGGGAGGGGGGGTCGGCTTATAAACGAACCATCTTATGATTGAGTATATACGGTATATCCCCTCTTCCTCCATGTTTGGACACTAAGGAGACCTGCTAACATGCTGAGCCCCCAAGGACAGTGATCCCATTAGACTCAATATATTGCAGTAGGGATGGTCCAGGAGAACAGAGCAGTTACTAATGGTGATGGAAACAGCTCTTCCTCAGATAAAGGAACAGCTACTGTAGCTCTTTGAATTGGCTGCACCAGATGCAAATTTGGAGTTCAACCCTACAACTACTTAAATACATACAAATATACTTAAAAACTATATAAATAACTTTCTTCACATTAAGTCCTACTAAAGTCCTATGTGCACATGTTTGCAGGATCAAACCCCTGAATTGAATCAGGCCTGTAAGCTGGCTTTCTATAGTTTAGCCCTGGATAGACAGACTTTCCCAGCAAATAGTATGGCAGACAAGAGGGACTAACTAGGAAATGCACTCTACTAATGGTTCTACTTTTTGATTGGGTTTATTTGTGAATGATCCTAGGCAATGCTGCACAAATGAAAACAGTCAAGAAAAGCTATGGAAATGGACTGTTCTGGGTACTTCTAGACAAATGGGTTTCCTAACATGAGCTTATGAAAAAATGGTGCCAACTGAGTAGAGGGAGATAGGTTCAAGCATGTAAAAATAGTCTGGAAAGCTATAAAAGAAAAGCCTAATCAGAAGATTAAAAATAGCTCTGTGCAGGGTGGTGCTGGTAATGCGAGAAGCTCAGGATTTACCAGAACCTTTGTAAGCTGAAAAATGCTTAAGAGGGTTAAGAAAATAATCAGTTTACATGAAGGCTTGAGTGCTGAAACACAAGTGCTGCAATCTGGGAAGAGGAAAGGATTCCTGAGAAGTGACTCCACTGAGTCAGAGAGAGCGCTGCAGGAGGGTCTAGCTCCCTGCTGGGCCTTTGCTGCAGGACAATGTGTCACCTTGGACTTGGGAGAAGTTAGAGCAAGAATATCCAGAGAAAGCCCTGAGCAATAAAGGGGACACAACATGAGAGATCCGAGAAGCAGCCAACCTGAGGCCAATCAAACAAAGCCAAAAGCCTGTCATCACTAACAAGCTGTTTGGAGTAATAACTTAGAGACTCTTAATAGCATTGCACCTAAATTGTGAGAGAGACCGAAGTGTGGCCTGGGCACAGATCTGGGAGACAAACTACTGAGCTTTGATTCCAGTTTGGCCACTGACTCAGTGAGCCGTTTCACTTCTCGGTCACAGTTTTGCCATCTGTGAAATGAAGCAAAGAATACCTTACCTACTTCACAGAAATGCTGTGACAATAACCATTTGTAAAGGTTAGTGTGCTGGAACGATTGGCTCTAGGGAAGACTTGGCTCTATGTAAAACTATTTCCCATATCGTCAAGTCACGTGTGCTTCAGCCAAGAGGGTGGAGCCTAGAAACTTGTGATGGCAAAAGACAACAAGGAGTGTAACCAGCAACTGGCCCAAGACCTCTTAGTCAGAACAAATTGTAGCATCCACTGTTAATTAACTGCAAATTGGAATGCCCAGACATTTTGAAAGGAGAGTCCAAAAGAAGCTGATTCCTCCAAAGAACAGAAAGGGTACCTAAGGTGCCAGTAAAACCTGAGTATAGTGTGTGTATAGTTTTAGGTACTCCCTGCATCACAGCTGAAGCCAAGCCAGCATCAGCAACATCCAAAAACAGCTGTAGCAGATCCCTTTCCATGTAGGCAAAGATTTTCTGTGAGAAATCCTGTAGGTTTTCTGTAACACTGTTGAGCTAGCGTGCACGTTGCACAACATGGCTTTCTGTGCCCATCGGGGAGAGTGTGCTTGTATTTCAAACCTGCTAGTAACAATCATGCCCATGCATGGTTGCACAAGCCCAAGAGTACGCTGAGCATTAGTGTAAACACTTCCTTCATCATATTCCAGTACAGTAGTTGCATTTACCATGACCATCCTCTTCACCACTTGCTTTGATACTGAAGTCTGTGTCGAAGGTTGCGTTACTCTCTTGGCTGGGAGTCCATTTTCCTCTTCAAAATAAGGAAAGAGAATTGTCCTCGAAATATGATGAAGGAAAAAGGGCAGAAAGAATGGTTTTACAAAAGATATGTTGTACACACTGGTATGCTGGTCATTTCTGGGATGATGTGGGTTCAGAAAATAGTTCCCCTTCTACAGAAGGCAAGCTAAGAGACTCATCAAGCAAAGCTTTGTCTGGAACAGGCTCAGCTGCCAAAGCCCAACCCCAAGACAAGATTTGGAGACATTTCTAGTTGAGTTAGCTTGGGTTTGGGAGGGGGAAGGTGGAGGGGCGGGGGTCAAGTTACAGGCCTGTGATGTTACTATCAGTATTTACTCCGTGGAAAGGCATGATGTAACACAAACCAAAACCCTGAAACTCAAATCCTCTCTCTCTCTCATGTGATTATTTTTCCATTTTAAAATTTAACAGTGAGCAGTAAATAAACAGGGGTCACCCAGGCAACAGCTGCTGACTCCAAAGAGTGCTATCAACATATCTTCAGTGATTCAGCATTCTGCTACATTCACAAACCACAAACTCATAGGAGCACACATGAATATGCAGATAGAGAGACAGCTGACTGGTGCCATTTTTATTACTATTTTATCACTGTCCATGCACCTTAAGAGCTAAATTTTGAGAAACAGTCTATTTGTAGTTTTGCAGCTGCAGTTGTACAGTTCTTAGTGTGCACAACAACCAGCAGCCTTCAATAGTAGGATTCTGACAATGAAACAACTTGATTACCTTTGGGCACAAATCACTTGCATCCACAAATCAAATAAAAAAAAATCCCATGATATTGTATGTAAAAACTGCAAGTTGTTGCGTTTTTAAAAAGTGCCCACTGTTAAGACAGACAACAAGTAACAGAAAGCTTAAAGCAGAACCTGAATGGAAATGCAGATCAATAAGGGAAAAGTGCAACAATGAAAAACACTGAGCCCTCATACCCCACAAAAATCTTTTCCAATATGCAGGGTTTGAGTAGTAAATGTTGAACCAGGGGAGCTCATCTTTTATGTACATCGAAGATAGAGTAACTAAGTATATTAATTAGGGAAACTGAGTTACTTTGCCATGGTGAGCTCACATTTCATCAATATGGCTACCAGAGATTCCAGAATTTGGTCCTCAGTCTTATTCAAGCTAAAACTATGGGTGCAGGGGATCAGCTGTTTCACATTCCAGCTTGGGTGAATGAGAATCTAATGATTGTTCTCTGGAAGAAATGCAGAACCTTTGTCCTTTCCCTATCTCTGCAGACTTATTTCAAAACAAAAACTGGTGAGTGCTATAGCTGTGCCAATAAAACATGAAGAAATAAAACATATATTGCAACAAAAAGGTTTTAAGGCATGTAAGTTACCCACTTGATTTACTCAAAACAAATAAGAGAAGAGTAGCAAAAAGAAGCAGAACCCCTCTGCCCCACTGTTACTTCCACACAGGCTATTTTAGAAGATGAAACTACCATAAGCTTCATAGGCACAGCGAATAATGCCAAAAGTATGTTGATTAGATTCTGGTAATCTGAATTTGGTGTTTGCAGCTTCACACGTGTGCAGTAATTTTTTGCTTTAGATTGAAACTAAAAAGAGTTGACAAGTGATTCCTTACCGTTAACGACAGAGCCATGCAGACAAAAGTGAACTTCTTGATATGCGTTGCTGTGACTGTGTTGCTGGTGTTCACCAGTTTATTGCTGGGATTATTCTAGGGTGAGAGAGAGAGAAAGATAACAAGCATTAACATGGCTCCAGACTGCTATGGAGCGGACAGTACCAGGGTCATAGGGGGAATCTCACTCTCTGTGTGCACAGTTCTTACTTTTTTTTTTTTTTTTTTTTTAAATTTAGTTAGCTTCCAAACAGGACACTTGCACAAGCCACAGAATATTTTTCCATGTGAACTGACAATCATTGTTCAACTGGTCTCTCACAGAGTTTACTAATTGCCTCAGTCTGCCAAGCAGTAATGCCTGCTCAAAAGTTTTAACGATTCTTTCTAAAGGATACTGGTGTGGTGTTGGCTGTCTTTGCTTAAAGCTTGTAAGGATGCGATCATAGCTAGGAAAAATGTTATCTTCCCTTCGTCCCCAGCCCCCACATCAACACAAAGTGGCACAGCATATACACAGCAGTGCAACCACCCCGTCTCAATACAGATCCAATTAGCCAGAGAGTGACTAATATAAACAAAGATCTAGGAACACCTGGCGCTGCTAATTAAGTTTGATGAACTGTACGTAATTAGACAGCTAGATCGTCCATTCTGAAAAGGACTCACATTGCAGTGGCAGGTGTGCTTAAAAAAACAACCCCCATTCGTTCCCCAAAGCACCTAACACCAACAAATGAAGCTAAAGATTTCATACTACTGACTGGGAACACATCCTTATGATAAACTACCTAAATGAGCCATGACAGGGGAGCACAGAAACCCAGAAGCAGGGCCTAGAACAGTGGCTGCAGAGTCATCTATTGGAGTGACTACTTGGCTGTTTAAGATACATGGGTAGGCACCAGAAGTGATAAGAACTCTGATGCAGTGCGATATTTACTCAGCCTTGATGTAGTTTAAGCAGAAGAATATCAAACTGGCAGTCACCTGGTATGGACAGCTTGCTAAACCTAATCTGAGAAGTCGGAATTTGTGCAAACCCATCCGGGGGAGTGCCAGACAGGAATATGGGACAGATTAAAAGCACACTGACTATTTCACGAGCTTTTGTACAAAACTCAAACTCAGAACTTTCACAAGTGATTACATAACTTACGGAACCCCATTCTGTATTGGGATGCTCAACTTTGGTGCCCAGATACAAATTGGCAATTTGTACAAAACCACTTCAAGCCATCAGAAGGGTAATGCTCTGGAACAGCCTCCCAATAGTTGTTTGCCCCCATAACTCCTGAGGAAGAGCTGGGCAAATGAAAATGAGTGTAACTGTACGATGGGTTTGCTTTTGATGGTAGGGGGCAGAGTGCAGCAGTGATGGGGCTCACTTCCAGTTTATATCTCATGTTCCTAAAAGCTCATGCTTTGGGATTTCAGCTGGCCACCTGGAAGGATCAGGAAGGGATTCCTTCTTCCCCATCCCCAATGTATGCTTCCTCTGAGGCGTCAGAGATGGCCACAGCTGGAGATGGGAATTGGACAGGGAGGGCGAGGACTCTAAGGTGGCACCGAGCATTCTCTCTCTCTCACAAGTGCTTGGGTGGCTGGTTCTTGCTCACATGCTCAGGATCTAACTGATCACCACATGTCGGGCCAGGAAGGGATTTTCCCTCAGGTCAGACTGACAGTGCCCTTTTCCCACCTTCCTCTGTACCATGAAGGTGTCAGTCACTTGCCAGGACTATCTGTGTATCTTTCATCTAATAATTTCCCTGCCATTACAAGGGCCTCAGGCATTGGTGCACCTTGGTTCCTTCTATTCTCTGCCTGTGACACAAAATAGTCTAGGCTCCTAAGGGCTGTAATACTTTGGTCTAATTTTTGGTCTAAATGGGTTAGTGTGCAGGTGCTGGTTACCTGTGCTATACAGGATGTCAGGCTGGATGAACTGGATGGTCTCTTCTGGAATTAAATTCTATGACTCTGAATTTGTGCGTATGGAAGATGCCAGTAAAAAAAAAAATCTGAAGTTGCTTTGTACAGTATAAGCTGTCCTCTTTGAGCACTGATGGATCTCTGAACATGGTTTTCTTAAGACTACACTTCTACAAGTAGGGCAGAACTACATTAAAGTACACTAGAGAACATTAATGGGCACTAGCAGTGTGTACACAGACTATTTAATGCACAGCTTAATTTAGTGGACTTTAGAAATCATACCCCATAGTGCATATTGCTGCTCTGTGTAGACAAGACCTTAGATGCCCCATATTTTAGCTAATACCAAGTTCTTCTATAGATCAGAATCTGATCTCCAATTTCAGTGTTGTCTCTTTTATAAATGGGATCCAGGGAGAAAAGCTGAACCAGAGCTGCTCCATGAAATCTTGCAAAGAGGGACATCAGGAGGGATAGTGTCCCTTTCCTTGCAAGACTGGAGTCAGTCACTTTCCTTGTGACATAGTCCACTTCACACACAGAGCAGCTGCAACCCATTTGAAAGGTCTGAAAATTACAGGTGAGCTTTTAGAAGGATTCTGAATGATAAGAGGTTCTGGTTGGATTCATTGGAGAAAGCTTTATCTTAAGAAACAATAGCTTCCAACAGGTGCATGAATATGAACAGGAATAAAACAATTATTTTTCTTGACCTTCCGAGAGAGTGAGAGAGAGAGAGAGAGAGAGAGAGAGAGTGTGTGTGTGTGAAGAGAGAGAGAGTGTGTGTGTGTGTGTGTGTGTGTGTGTGTGTGTGTGTGTGTGTGTGTGTGTGTGTGTGTGTGATAGCAGCCAAAAAACAAACAAGAACAATAGCTGAAGCATTCGCAGCCGGAGAACAGGTTTTTTTTTGTTTTGGTTTTTTTCATAATGGCTCCTCTATACCCAGCCTGTGTCATGCCACCTTGCTCTTCAACAGTATAAATCTCAACCCTAGATTTACTTTGCAATTAGATCATACCTGTTTGATTCCTATCCTAACTCCTTCCCCACATGATACCACCTGCTGGCTGTGACAAATCATACTAGCTTCTACTTGAACTGTTGACTCTCAATTTTATCAAATAAAAGTAATGTTATAGAATCATAAAAATGTAGGGCTGGAAGATATCTTGAGAAGTAATCTAATCCAGCACCCCATACTGAGACAGGACCAAGTGAATTTAGACCATCTCCAACAGGTGTTTGTCTAACCTCTTCTTAAAACCTCCAGTGACCCAGTCAACCTGTGGAACTCTTTGCCAGAGGATGTTGTGAAGGCCAAGACTATAACAGGATTCAAAAAAGACCTTGCTAAATTCATGGAGAATAAATCCCTCATTGGCTATTAGCCAGGAGGGGAAGGGATGGTGTCCCTAACCTCTGTTTGCCAGAAGCTGGGAATGGGCGACAGGGAATGGATCACTTGATGATTGCCTGTTCTGTTCATTCCCTCTGGGGCACCTGGCATTGGCCACTGTTGGAAAACAGAATACTGGACTAGATGGACCTTTGGTCTGAGCCAGTAGGGCTGTTTTTATGAGATGGGGATTCCACAATCTCCCTTGGTAACCTATTCCAGAACTTGACTACCCTTATAGTTAGAAAGTTTTTCCTAATTTGTAACCTAAATCTCCTTTGCTGCAGATTAAGCCCATTACTTCTTGTCCTACCCTAGGTGGACATGGAGAACAACTGATCATTCTTCTCTCAGCAACATCCCTTAACATATTTTAAGACTGTTCTCAAGCCCCACTCAGTCTTTTCTTCTCAAAATTAAACATGCCGAATTTTTTTTAACCTTTCCCATAGGTTCAGCTTTCTAAACTTTTTATTATTTTTGTTGCTCTCCTCTGGATTCTCACCAATTTGTCCACATCTTTCTTAAAGTTGTGGTGCTCAAAACTGGTCACTGTACTCCAGCTGAGGCCTCACCAGTTCTGCGTACAAAGAAAGAATTACCTCCCTTACCCGACATTCAACACTCATGTTAATACAGCCAAGAATTGTATTTTTGGCTTTTTTGCAACTGTATCACATTATTGACTCATATTCAGTTTTGATACACTATAAACCCCAGATTCTTTCTTGCAGTTATTTCCCATTCTGTAGTTGTGCATTTGATTTTTTCCTTCCTAAGTGTAATACTTTGCATTGGTTTTTCCTGAATTTCATCTTGTTGATTTCAGAGCAATTCTCCAATTTGTCAAGATCCTTTTGGACTCTAATCCTGTCCTCCAAAGTACTTACAACTCCTCCCAGCTTGGTGTCCTCTGTAGATTTTAGAAGCCTATTTTCCACTCCACCTATGACTGTTCAAATCATTAATGAAATTATTGAATGGTGAAGTTTTTTCTAGAAAATGAAAGCTCACTATTGCCCAAATCGTGTTCCCACTGTAGTCAATAGCAAGCCTCTTAGCAAGTTTAGTGGAACCAGGATTTGGCCTTGTATGGGGAGACTCCATATCTTCTCATTATTGTAACTTGCACACGCAGTACACTGAAACAATGAGTTTCACCATATCTGCACTGAGTGTTAACAAGTTACACAACCCTTGTTCTAATCCACTCTGGTCTGCAGTTTATTTATTTTGTTGTTGCTGATCCAGAGTACCGTTAGGTGTCTCTAACAAAGATGCTACCCTATTTTCATATTCTAGTCTATATTCAGCAGGATGTCCCTGCATAAGTCTACATATTGAACTTTAGTTGGCATGAGAGTCTTGTCCTCATATAAACAAAGTTAACAATTGTGACTGACTGCTTATTTTAAAAATTGGATGGAAGTGTGGTGGACAAAAACAAATAGGGCTTGATTACTTACATCTGTGTAAGTGCATACATGCCTCCACACACAAAAGTGTTTATTCACCCAGGATTGGGACCAAAGGAATTCAGGAGTGTATAAGCAGTTGGGGAATGGAGGGGTTGGGTATCTGATTTTGATCATCATAGCGGTTACCTGTCATCATGTAAATTAAGTGTTGGTGTGGGTATGTAGGCTGTTACTAGTACCAAGTCAGAGCAAAATGTAATTCAGACTAAAATACCAAGGGGCTTTTTTGTTCTGTTTCCTCAAATCTATTCCAGGAGCAGTCCTGGAGTCCTTATGTAACTTGCTGAGCTCCCATGAAAATTCTCATTCACCTTGATCGGTTAAGTCCATAGTATAGAAATAATATATGGAATGTCTGCTTGTTTTAGCCTATGAAGTAACCTTTGTTTGACATTTAATATGAGCAAGTTAAGCTAATCCAGTCTGCGGAAACAATGTAGTGTCCAGAGAACAGCCTAACTTTGAAGATGAGACTTGAGTTCCTTAGCTGCTGGATATTTCATGAAGATGTTCTTCATCAGGGAAATAGCTAAATTAAACTGGAGCTACCACTGAAGTTTTTAAAAACTTTACAAATACGGCAGTTATCTATATTCAAAACAAACAAAAAACACCCAGAACCTCAAACCCAGGAAATTGAGAGGTAAATTAAAACTAGAGATAAGACAAATACTTGAAATTACGAAAAGGCAAAACTAATGCTAATTCAGAGTTTAGGATCATCTAAAATGTTAAAAAATACATTATAGAGACAAAAAATAAAAATAGAGGACCAAAAATACATCAATCAACTAATTCAACATGGCCTGAGCCATCCCGGTGCGCGCTCACTCTTTCTCTCTAATATAAATACACACACGTGGAATAGGGGGTGAACTCTTGAGGTGGCAAAATTTGCAGATGAAACAACTCAAGGTAGTTAAGTTCAAAGATGATTGTGAAGAGTTACAAAGGAGTCTCACAAAATTGGGTGACTGGATGAAAAAAAAAGGCAGATGAAATTCAGTGTTGATAAGGGCAAAGTAATACACATTGGAAAAAATAATCCTAGCTATAATTAGCTGTTACCACTCAAGAAAGATCTGGAGTCATCATGGATAGTTCTCTGAACACATCCACTCAATGTGCAGCAGCAGTCAAAAAAGCTAACAATGTTAGGAACCATTAAGAGATAGAAAATATCACAATGCCACTATATAAATCCATGGGACCTCCCACACCTTGAATACTGAATGCAGTTCTGGTCACTCCATCTCAAAAAATATGTATTAGAATTGGAAAAGGGGCAGAGAAGGGCAACAAAAATTATTAGGGGGATGGAACGGCTTCCATATGAGGAGAGATTAAAAAGACTGGGGCTGTTCATTTTAGAAAAGAGACGACTAAAGGAGGGATACGATAGAGGTCTAAAAATCTATCTAAAAGTGATCTAAAAGTGAATAAGGAAGTGTTATTTATCCATTCACATAACACAAGAACCAGGGGACACCCAATGAAATTAATAGGCATCAGGTTTACATCAAACAACGCACAGTCAACCTGTGGAAGTTATTGCCACACAATGTTGTGAAGGCCAAAAGTATTACTGGGTTAAAAAAAATTAAGACCGTCAGAGATCCAATCCCATGATTTGGGTGTGCTTAAACCTCCAAATGCTAGAAGCATCTGGCACTGGCTGCTGTTGGAAGACATGATACTGGGCTAGATAGACCATTGATGTGACTCAGTATGGTCATTCTTACATGTTTTATATACATACATATACACACACACACACACACGCAGTTAAGGAGGAATGGAAAATATGGAGATTAGTGTATGAGTCTTCTTCCCTTACGCACCTTTTACACTGGTGTAACTCTTCTGCCTTCTGCTAACCATCCTTAATTTACAGTGGTGTATATCAAAGGAAATTGGGTCTAGAACTACCATGAATGTGAAACAGGACTACAAAGTATTTAGTATCATCATACAATACAAATACTCACCTTGTCAAAAGCAGGATACACGGCTCGAATTTCTGTCAACCAGCCGTACGGCATGTGTCCCACAGGGTATGTAGCTGTCAGAATTGCCACAGCCTACAACAGGAGAAAAGAGAACATACTTACACTTCAAATCTTCAGACAGCATAAACAAACTAACTTTTTTATCCATTTTCAGTTACTATTGACCTCAGTGCAACAAGAGAAAGGCAACCAAAGGGCAATCATTACATCAGGAAAACAATCATAGAAACAGTTATTCTATGATGCATTTCAGACTCAGGGAAAATTCAACATGGGTGAAGCTATATGACTTAACTGTGAGGTTTTACCATCACAATTGTACTCTCTGATTATATTTTAGATTTTTAAACTGTTTATTTGCTCGTCAATCAGTTGATTTTTCCCTTTATTCCTTCTACTGTGTTGATTAATTATTTGATCTAGTGAGGCTTAAATACCCTGCACTAGAGTACACTGATTTTTCTATTAATTGTATTCCATGATCTTAACTTTTTCATACAATTTTGTTTTAATAAATTCATAAGTAAAACAGTGGAAACATAAAATTATTTAATTAAAAAGAACTACAGCAATGTAATTTGAAAGCCTGCAGACTGACTCACTTTGGATGCCAGATTGACTGTTTTGGGCTAGAGGGACCCTAGAGACGAAGAAAACTCTGCCTACTTCTGTACTAATCAATTGAGATCAGACAAAAATAATCCTAGATCATTGTTTCAGCTCATTACCTGAAATCTAAGAAAACTAAGTCCTCTAGTACTTTTGCAAGTACCATTTACATAAATGCGATACAAAAAAACCTAACATCTCAACCGATTTTAAGATTGCTTTGTGCTGCTGCTGTTTACGTTTTCTTCTTTCCTGACGAAAAAGTCAAATTATAAATCAAGGAAACATTTTCAAACATTGAAACTGCCTTTCCCACCCCCCCATGGAGGCTGGTGAGATTTTCCAAACACTGATGTGGCCACTGCTGGCCTAGATAAGATGGGGCAGTAAACATGTCCATCATTTCAGTCCTACCCTTCTCAACTGATGTATCTTGGTTCACATGGGAAGACAGTTTAGGGAGATTCTCTTTAGGCTCCTTCTAATGCTGACTTGAAACTAGCAAACTGTCCCTGTAACTTTCCTCTTCCACAGAGCCAATATATGTGTCAGTGCTGTGAATCACCTGAGAACTTGATAACTTCACTATTCACACTCCAAGAGTTTGACTGTATGGGGTCTGCAGGATCAGGCCTTTCTTGTCTTGTTATGATTCAACTAAATTTAGACTCCGTTGGGGATGGATCATTAGTGGAAGAGAAATACTTCTTTGGTCTGTACTATTGCTATCTCAGGGTTTGTCTTCACAGCAATTAGACACCCACAGATGGCCTGGGCCAGCTGACTCGGGCTCATGGGGTTCAGGCTGCGAGGCTGTTTCACCGCTGTGTAGACTTCTGGGCTCAGGCTGTAGGACCCTGTGAGGTGGGAGGTTCCCAGAGCTCAGGCTTCAGTCCAAGCTCAGAAGCCTACGCTGCAGTGAAAACAGCCCCGCAGCCCGAGTCCCGCAAGCCTGAGTCAGCTGACATGGGCCAGCTGCAGGTTTTCCTTTGCTGCGTAGACATATCCTCAGTGTTTTGGTCTCCTAAAAGAGGAATCAGAAAAGGCTTATGGGGCTAATCCTGCATGACTTGATTTCATGGAAAACCCAGTGGGTGCACAAGGAACATAGAATCTGTTTCTTGTCCTTATTACATCCACCTCCTTGTCCTTATAACATCCACCTCTCCTTCCGATTTTCATCTATAGTAGACCCCTACCATGACATCATCCATGTTTCTTTTCCCCTTTCATCTTCACCCAGAAACTTTCAACTGGTCTTCCTCTCACCTCCTTCTGGATCTCAGAAAACGTATATATATTCTTGATGTATACAGCGATACCTCATTCCTTTCCCTCCCACCCCCCTCCCGTCCTTCCTGAACAAGCTATACCCCTCTATACCAATATTCCAGTCATGGGATTTATCCCACCAATATATATGTCCAACAGGGCCATGTTACTATGTCTGTGAAAACCTTAACATTAGGACTTTCTGTAAATCCTTCACATTTCAGAAAGGTAGGAGTCTGCATTTAGTTTCCTGGGTTTTTTTCCCCCTTATTGAAAAAAAGGAAAGGAAATCACAAAAAACCATAATCCTCCTCCCATTGAAATCAATGGCAAAAATCCCAGTGATTTAAATGGGGGAAGGACCATATAAAGATGCACAGTTTCTGTAAGCACAGGATTTTGTGTTGTAGTTACAAGAAACCAGTGTCTCTGTGGACTGCTTGAATTGCACCTCTGATGAGTATTTCAGAAAGTGAGCACTTAACAGAGACAAAAGGACTGGTACCTTCAAGATGTTAAGCAGGACACATCTTTGGGACAACGGACCCAAGAACTCGCCTTTGGGACCCTACTTCAACCAGTTTAGAAAGTGCCCAAGAGGTAGGCAGGTATGTACGTATGCATATGTGAAACAACCCACGCACTCACATCCCAGCTAGGGGCCTGATTCTTCCATGCCTTATCTCTCATACACTCACTTACAACCTTGCAAAAAAGTTAACAAGTCCTGATGGTAATGCATCACATCGCTTTGCACAGCTGTAAATAAATACGCAAGAGGCAACACAATGGGGAATGAGACCCCAGACAACTATCCTGCATTCACCAGGCTCTGGGGTTTGCATTGCCCATCACTATGCAAATCTTGAAACCCCAGGATACTTGAATGGAATCTGTGGTCCCATGATGCATTTGATAAGACATTGTTTAGAGTGGGATGTAAGTGGGACAAGAGGGCTGACCAAAGGACAAGAGGCTTCATGTTAAGAGGCAGAAATTAGGCCAATGTCTTCTGCTTGCTTTTAGCATCCTGGGAAAAATGAACACTTAGCATTTGAGACCACTTTCCCCTGTTCCTACAGATGAGGGGAAAACACACCAGGAGGTGCTTTATATGGAAGGGAATGAACACCCTGCTTCCTTAGCGAACGTAAGCAAGGAAGACTTCTTTTGTGTGTGGAATGCAGTACAACGATGAAACATTTCAGTACAGAATGGCACCCAGCTTCCCAGGGATTCACATACCTCTGTGGCTGCAGAGCTGCCGCCCAGGTCCCGGGACACAAAAAGGTTGACAATGGGTCTACTGATTCGCTGAGTTGCCAAAATTAATGCCAAAGGCCACCAAAAACTCAGCATCTTCCTAATTGTAGCATCTCCCTGAAGCGTAAGAGAAACAAAGTCCCTTTTGAAACAAATAGGCAGGACAGAACCAAAAGCACAACCAAAGGATTTTTCTCACTTTTCCCACCCATCAGCTGACTCACCAAATTCAAAAGCACGCCAGAGCCTAAGAGAGGAATGCCACATGAAAATGCAATCTCCCACATTAGCAATACAGAATTAAAGGTAGCTGTGCATTCTTAACAGTCCTACTAGATCTGAATAATTGATGTACAAGGTATTTGCATAATTTGTCCTGGCAACCAGTTATAAAGGCATTGATCTGCACTGAGGGATTTGTGAATTACTGCAAGACATTCAAGGGAAAAAAAAAAGAGGTGTTCTGACACATAGCTTCCTCGCACAGGGAGGAATCTCTCAGAATGTCAGTTTCCAATGTCATCCTTGTAGCATTTGCTGTGCTGATGATCCTAAATACTAATATAACATTTGCGGGAATATGCTTAGCACAGCCACAGAGGTACTGACATAAGGATACGCTGTACTGCTCTCACACAGGAGACTGTCGGTTAGCTGCCATGTACATGGTCATTGAATTGGTATGCACAAGGGTACGTTTGAAACTAAGTGTTATGTGCTTTTTTTCCTGAGGGACAGAGAGCTTACAATCCTCATCAATACTAGCTAACCTGATTGCACAGTAAGTCCTACCAGGCATCAAGACATACCCCCATCTCAGGCCCACTGCTGTCAGGAATAATGTCGTGTATATTCCTGTAGTAGCCCAGGCATAAGGTGGTACATCGGACCAGTGCTCCCATGTACAAGGATAAGATTGGGATAAGGAGAGGCTCTTTGCATTCCAAGTGACTGTGAAGCAGAATGGCTACAAAAACAACCTAAAAGAGAAAAGAAGAAAAAAAAAGTAGACAGGTTAGGGGTTTTCCATTTTAAATAAAGGGCCCAGTATTTCCTGTTGTACCCAAGACCAATCGATCTCTGACACTGCCACACTGATGCAGACTACATTGTGGAAGTGCCCAGAGGCCCTAGTCAGGGATTAGCTCCCCACTGCAGGAGGCGCTGTACAAACGAGTAGAACAAAGACAGTCCTTGTCCCAGAGAATTCACATTCAAGATTTGACACCAGGCTATAGGTGAACAAAGTACTGGTAACGGGGTCAGGTGCAGGACAGGCAACCACAAGGATGAGTATGTTTGCATGTATTTACTCTTGGTGTTGGTAGTAAGTTCCAGGGGGCCAGCAGCCTAACCAATTCCACATGGTGTTGACCCTTTTTGATAGTGGGTATGCTTACAATATCAATTTCTAAGTGTCTCTTTTTTGAAAGTCAGATTAAAAAGAACAACACTGACTTTGACTCTTTAAGAAAGTCAAATATGATTTTTCAGTATTTAAAACTCAGTGGTTAGAAGGAAATCCCACTTCAATTCTAACTTTGCACTGGCTTCAAGCAAGATAGCTGGGCTTTCTCTTGGACTACCAGGGCTCAGCCTTGGCATAATTCTAACTGGTAAACTTTAATACTGAATACCAAATCCCAGGAATACAGCCGATTATGGTGAGAATCAACCCCATTACACTTCCTGGATTTTAGCATTTAAGATAATAACTTTAACTCTTTCACATTTATCACAGAGCCTGAGCATCCCAGTTAAATTCCAGATGTTTCCAATGGGGAAAATTGGGAAGCCTGCTTAACGTGGGGTTCTGTGAATGAAAGAACTGAAAATGACTCTATTGGCAGGGGCTGGGACTACAGTGAGTTCTGAACGAACACATGGTGTTGGGTTTGCTTACTAAATACATAGTTCTGTAGTACTAAATACATCCTTCTCTCATTGGTTTTATATTGTGTGCAGACAGTGATTACACCTAGTGTATGTCTTGCTTTAAAAAGAAATAAATACCTGTATTTACAAGGCTGGTAATGCTGTTTATAGGAGGATTGCAAAACAATTGATTTAGGATGCTACATAGGAAATTTTTTCAATAAAGTTGCTCATCCAGAAAGTGCTCAAGAGAGGAAAGAATTAAACGCTCAGGACCAAAACCATCAATCACATCTTCAGGACTACGGGTAACAAAATTCTTATTAAACAGGTGTTACTACTGCTTATGTTCACTTTGCTAGTGTCAACTGATGCAGGGAAGTCCAGTGGTCAGAGATTTTGCCCTTCTGGAAATGCTCTTGTCCCATACGTATTCTGCTATGGAAAGAGGAGATATTGTGGACTTCATTTTCAATAGCCTTACACCTTGTTTAGTCAACTTGCCCTTGCGCAAAGTGTATGTATCTAAAACACTGCCAGATTAAGATGGTGGTGTTATAATCTCTTTGTTCAGGTCTGAATGACTAGACAAGATGCAAAACCATGGAGAATGAGGCCTAGCAGGCTATATTCTGTTTTCATACCACAATTTTATACCACTGACTTTCAGGGTCACTCTAGAGTGAGATGAGAGTCAGACCCATTAAGTGGATTTCTTTGGTATTAAGTTAGCTTGTTATAATTACTTCTAACTTATATTAATTGCAGAGATTTTGCTCTACGTGGTATACAGTGCAAAAATGAGTATCTATCATAGGGTAACAGACCACAAGGTTTAACCCTTCAACATACAATTGTTTTTACTTAATAGAGGGAAGGTGACCTAGAGAACTGAATGAAGGATTCGGAGCCCAGAGCTCTTGAATTCTGATTCCCTCTGACCTTGCACAAGTCACATGCTCCGTCTCTGCCTTCACCTCCCTCACCACTAAATGAGGATGACAAGGACTGGCCTAGGTACCCGGTGCTGTGAAGCTAAATTTGTGTAAAAGTTTAAGCGCTTTAAAAATGAGAACCGCAATATTGGTACTTGATATCAAATATGAATTTAAATGACTTTCCACAATGGATGTCTAGTAAAGTGCAGAATGAAGGGGACATACGTTTAACACATCACTCAGGTAATGGAAGTTGAAACAATGCAGGACCCTTCCTAATAATGCACTGCAGCACCAAAGTGGTTCAGCTAAGTTCTGACTGCAGTTTTCAACATGAAACATTCAGGGCCTTTAACAAGAATATTGCTTGCTGAGCTGTCCTCACGCTCGGGAGACAGCATATGTTATTGCAGTATGGCTGGAATTTCACCAAGTTAATCAACAAGTGCATAGCTGAGGGATGAAGGGAGAACTGAGGAATCAAATATGTATTTCTATTGTCATATAGTCTCGAGGCCCCACTCAGGATTTCAGCCCTATTATGCTAGGTGCTTTACAAAATATGGTAAAAGACAGTCCCTCCCCCAAAGAGCTTAAAATCTTTACTTACATTTGTCTAAAGGTACTTAATCCTGGAACATGTGGTAGCCATTGTGTTTCACTGAACTCCTGTCCTTTCAGGAAGGGCATAGCTGCAGTGGGACATTGCATTAAACCAAGCTATCCTGGTTCCCCATTCCTGGAGATACCTGACTTGTGTGGAAGCGAAAGCAGCCTCAGCTACAACTGCCACCAAGGGGCCTCTAATGCAGTGTGGACTGCCAAAGTACAGCACGCTCCAGGTACAACCCCACCTCCGCCAGCATGCTGGGAGGAAGGTGTAAAGCAGGTTGTAAGCCAGTGAGAAGTTTTGACGTGCCGGGGGAAACCTCAAATGCTTGTTTAGAACAGCTATAGAGCTCCATATCGTGGGCCATGATCTGGCCCATAGTGCAGAAGGCACAACTGTTGTTGAGATGAGTCATTACCTGAGCTATGACATCTGAGATGGAGGCACATCCCACAAGGAAACTGTGTTTGTGTTTCAACAGAATGCCAGCATGGGTCCAAGCCTGTAAAGGACAGAACTTTGTTTAGAAAATGACTAACATGGATCCATCTATTAGGTTCAGGTTTAGACCCTGGCTACTTTCTTACAGCTAAACTTTACACAAACCATTTATGAAACTCTTTCCTACATCTGAGTCAGCCTCCCATGTGAATCTGAACAAATCTAGGCCAATAACCCAGAGAAGAAACTGTAGCTTTTAACTCTTTGCCAGGGCTGAGAGCGAGGATCAGTTTAAATGACTGTACAGTAGCTGCTGAGAAGGGAATACAGTAATGAGAAGCAGTCTTTATTCCTGGTGTAGGGGTGGAGTTAGAGTTCTAACAAATCCAAGTAATAGGTTTTCTTTTTATTCACCAGCTTTCACGGTGTACAAAATGTAGCTCTGATCTCACTGGCCAATGGGTATACTGAATATTGCAACAAAATCCTGCCTTTAAAAAGTAACTCACTGATGCCACTTCTTTTCATACTTAGTTATTTGGAGAAAGTGACTGGGGTGCAGGTATACAACAGTAGCATCATCTGCAAAATCTTTAACAGAGCAGAGGAATTATTTGCGTGGGCAAGCTCTCCTTTAATGCACCTCCAAATACCTGTCAAATAGTTGGGTTTTATAAGCTGGGAACATCAGAGAGAAGTGACAATTAAAATTCAGTTCTGAGCCAGACACTCACCATGGCATCCATAAAAGGGAAGGCAGCAAGATAAAGGAAGGCCCTTCTAGTTTTACTTCCCACTGATTCATCCACATGGTGCAGCTTGTTAATAATATAATACCCCAAATCGCTATATGCTGCAGAAATAAAAGAATAGCAAAAAAATAATTTGGTTAAACTGACAGATTCTGGCTGGGATGTTCAAAAGCACCTGTGTGTGTTAGGCATCTAAGCTCTAGGCACTTCTGAAAATCCCACCTTCTCTTCCTAATCAGGGATTTTTGTAGTGTCTTACGAATACAGCCTTTCAATGTATTTTGCAGGTACATATTAGAGAATAAGCTTATAAGTATTCTTAAAAGTTTATAAAACACATAGTATCATATAACACCGATAATATTACCTGTAAAACATGTACAAAACAGTGAAATCACATGATAACTTATAAAGGCATGCAACAAACTGCATTTATGGCCATGTGATGGCTTCCCGTTTACCTTGTCTGCTAATCATTTCTACCAACACTTGTTTTAACATTGCAAAACCTCTGGGGCAGCCTCAGGTGGCTGCCACTTTCCTTCCATGGTTTAAGGGCTAATATATCACAAGGCTAGAAATGGATTATCTGTGCTACTGGAAACTGTGCAATTCCTGCTTTTCAGTGGGCAATGCACTTGTTTCTAGTCCTGGTTCATCCTTAGGTAAAAGCTGTTTTTAAGAAGTTAGTTAAAGTAGCTTTGAATCTCACAATTTTAGAGGAATGCGACAACTTCCTTTTCATATAAGGCCAATATAGCTGGACCCTCAGTACTAGATCCTGACATTACAGGTTGTGAAAAGAAAAATAAATCCCAATAACTATTAAAAACCACTATAAAGATGTATAACCTTTCATTTTTAAAAAACTGTTAAAAGAACGTTAAAGTTGACAAGTCATGCTATTATTGCAATTTTGTTTGGACACACTTCACTATATTACAAAAGATATACATAGATACTTAGCAGCATGTCACATACTTTATACCTTTGCTTATATTATCCGATCCATGTGTGTTAATACTGGTGGTCCCATCCAGCTTTGTTCTAGCCTAAAACCAGCTATCCTAATGGAACTGGCAGGTTACTCAAGAAGGTAGGGAATTTGCTTACACTGCCACAAAACCTCAGTTTTGCTGAAGGGCTTAAGGCACTAGTGTTATATGTAATATAGAACAATGTTTGAGGCCAGTCAGAGGAACTGAGTCCAGCATTGTTTTGCAATTACTGAGTGATAACACAGTCACAAGGTTAGGGGATTCAAAGAAAGGTTTATTACTCATTATAACACTCTTCTAAAACGATGGGCAAGTAATGACAACTAGATCTAATGATAGAAACAGGAATGGGGGGCAACATATTTCTACCAGAAGGCTGGGAAAACACAAAGCAAGATAAACAAATAAAACCTCCATTTTATACTGGTTTTCTAGTCCTTACTAAATTTCTGCTATCTATATTATGGCCAGGCTTGCAGACTGTCAGATCACCCTAGTAATCTCCAAGCTGTACTTAGTGTCACTCCCAAACAATCAGCTTAATTGCCTTTTGAATAGTATCAGGGAACCATCCTGTAAAATAGAACTCAAACCTTACTTCCTGAGTCCTGGCGGTCACCTCAGTTCCTTTTCTTAAAATATTCATTTTGCAATAATTTTCACATATCAACTGATATCAGCTGTGGCTATTTAAAAAAAAAAACAAATATCTATGTGACCACTTAACTTTTCACTCAATACTTTGTAAACAGTGTGTGCTACCTACACATTTTTACAATTTCTTTGAACACTGTTGCTTTCATTGCAGAGCAGCACCTCATGTCTGTTCCCTAAAATAAAAACGGACTTGAATGAGCTTGTGCAACTTTGGAAGAGACGTGAAGAACATATTTCATTACGCTCAGATTCTGTGAGGTCTGTGTTAGGTTCCATCCACACCTGTGCCTCAACTCTGTGGACTAAAACCATGTAGTAAGACAGCTAAAACTCTCGCAGGAGCTACAGGGTGTTAAGTTCCTTACAGGGACAAATATCCTCTTGACCCTGTCCCTTCCTGCCCTTTGCACCCTTTGTGTCCTGTGAACCCACTTCTTGTAGAGGGGCTTCCATGAGCAACTGAGAATGGACAGCGCATTCATCAGAGATGCTCTCCGTTTTCTCAGCCCTCTCCCCCCCCCCCCACCTCCATAAAAGCAGGCAGTAGAGCAACCTTTTTGGCTCTGAAAGATATAGGGATTAAAAAAAAGCACACTGTCACAGAAACCTCGATTAGTGGCCAAGGACTGGATGAGCATGGAGACGGAACCAGCCTGACTCCTGGAAATGTTCCCTCCAACACATGGTTGGAGCACATTGGCAGGGCACTATGGAGAGGCTTGTACAGCTTCTGCCCAAAAAGGACCTATTCCCTGGACACAGCGCTTCACTCTCCAGGGCTCTCAATCTGGCATGTTTTACAAGCACTGAAATCCCTTGACGTTAGACAAAAACCTACTGAATTTTTGACGTTGTTGAAATCATAACAGCTAAGCTTAACATTAGCTTTAAAACAGTTAACCTGATTTCCACATGTAAGTGAAAGGTGACACACACACTTTTGGTGATGTTGCTAAAAAGCGGTTTTCATCCTTAGAGGATAAGCAGGCTGCTCTCGGGTAAGACTTACTCATAAGTATTCAGGCATGTCTCTCTCAAATGTGAATAAAGCAATCTCTGATGAATTAGAATGTAACCTTGGCAAGCCAGCTGTACTTATGAAGAACAATATAAAAATTAATAATACAGCAGCCTGTTTTGTTCTCCTGTGATAACTCATACAATTTCTCAAGATTCACTTTCATATGTTTACAGTTTGGTCTTGCTGCTTGCATTTAAGTAAAAACTCTAGCTTGGCTCTTTCTTATATGAGTCTGTTCAGAGTCATAAGGATAGGCATTTTCCACTATTGGATTTATCTGACTAGTGGAATATCATGCATATAAATGGAACATCTTCCCTATGGTTGCTTCTATAAAACTCCAACCAGTAGCCCACACACTTGACATCCCTGAAACAAATGCACAACTGAATACGCTCTTGGAGCTTGCATAAACTCCATGCATAAACTGTATTAATGACAGCAGAGTCTTAAATAAATGGCACCACTGTTAGTCGTTCTGGGGTCATCCACTATCCTGCATGATGCTCTTGTGTCATGAAGGAAACAAAAAGAACCCTTCCAGGAGGTGCTAGCATTGATGTTCAGACAAAGCCACACACGTAAATATTAGCTCTATTGGAAAAATATCACAGGTGACTTTGGATTAAATGATGAATTCTCTGGATATAGTCCATCTTCCTACTTTGATGTCAATTTTAAAAATAAACTGTTCTTGTAGACTTGTGAAATGAAAAACTGTGCTTCTTGTCATCAGGTAGATGTGCCACAAAGTTGGAACACTATTACTTGAACTCTTCAAAATCTGGAAATGCCCGAGGATTTCTGTCAGTGTTCCCTCCCAACTCTGAACTAGGGGATACAGATGTGGGGACCTGCATGAAAGACCCCCTAAGCTTATTTCTACCAGCTTAGGTTAAAACTTCCCCAAGGCACAAATCCTTTCTTTGTCCTTGGACGGTATTGCTGCCACCACCAAGTGACTTAGACAAACATCCAGGGAAAAGGGCCACTTGGAGTCTCTATTTCTGCAAAATATTCCCCCAAGCCCCTTCACACCCTTTCCTGGAGAGGCTTGAGAATAATATACTAACCATTTGCCTTTAATAAAAGTACAGACCAGACCCTTTATCTTTAGCACACTAAAATCAATCAGGTTCTTAAAAGAAGAACTTTATTATAAAAAAAACAGTAAAAGAAGCACCTCTGTAAAATCAGGATGGAAGGTAATTTTACAGGGTAATAAAAAGATTTAAAACAGAAGATTCCCCTCTAGGCTCAACTTCAAAGTTCCAAAAACAGGAATAAACCTCCCTCTTAGCATAGGGAAAATTCACAAGCTAAAACAAGAGATAATCTAACGCATTTCCTTGCTTTACTTACAATTTTTGTAATCTTAGATGCTTATTTCAGGTAGGTTTTAGGAGATGTTTTTTCCTGCCTGGTCCCTCTCTCTGTCCCGAGAGAGAGCACAACAAAGAGCACAAACAAAACCTCCCCCCACCACCCAGATTTGAAAGTATCTTCTTTTCTTATTGGTCCTTTTGGTCAGGCGCCAACCAGGTTATTTGAGCGTCTTAACCCCTTACAGGTAAAGGAGGGATTTTATGCTACCCTTACCTGTATGTTTATGATAATTTTTCAGACAGCTTAATGCCTCATAACACTCCAAATATAGCTGTTCCAATTTTAAAGTCAGATTAGTTTTAACTGGCCGAAAAATACACCAAATTTGAGTCTGGGCTCATTCCATTCCTTCTCTGCTTTGTGACTATGTTGTTGAGGAGAAAATGACTAAGTTAATTAGCAGAAATGTGAATTGTTAATGTTAGCTACTGCTACAGCAACATCCACCTCAGGATGTCAATGCATTATACCCTTTTTAAGGAGTTCTGTCTTATCACCCCCTGCAAAGTAGGCACAGATGATGATTACTTTAATGATAGGCTAGGTGATTAGAACAAGAATCCCACCAGAAGTCTACGAAAACTAAGATCAGAAGAACCTGGATAACCTGACTCATGGTCAGGTCAGTGTTCCCCTCTCCTCTGTGCTACAGATGGCAGAACATTTGGTATCAGCTAGTCAGGTGGGCATGTTTAGAACTTGACTGACCACAAAAATGGCGCAGTTAACCTTCATTCACACACTATATTTTTTGGCATGAACAACTATTGACCGTGTTAGCTGGAAACCAGGCCCTTGATCCTTCATGCATGAGTCACTATGCATGTGATTAGTCCCATGGAGACCAGGGGAACTATTAACAAATGTAAAGCCACTCACCTGTGCAGGTGCTTGCAGGATAGGGGCCCGTGTCTGCAATCACAGTGGAAAACGAATAGCATTGCTATGAGCTTCTACTGGATTCAGCCTGCCATCTGTTAGCCTGGCTGCTGAAGTTCCAACTGTTTTGTGTTGGAGCTGACAAGTGACACTTCATCTACTGCCTCACCAGGAGCAAAATGGTGGTAGTGTACATTTTCAAGAGGAAGGGGATGTAGAAGTGTTTACTTAGTCACAGGGACTATGACTTTAGCTGCACCTCCAAAGCTACTGCTGGTTTCCGTCATTCCTAGAACTTCAGCAATGGCGAATGTAACATATATATTCAATTGAAAAGAAATGGCCAGAGTGTTATTCCAGCATCTTGAAACTCCTGCTGAGAAAGGGTGAATTAAATGGCAGCCAGGACCAAAACAGGAAACCCTGATACGTAGAGTCCTGCATGGATACAAAATTTGTATCGGCATCCGATCCGCAAACACGGATATCCGCAGATTTGCAGAGCTCTACTGATAAGTGATGAATTGTGCTATTGTGTCTACAGCAAAGAGAAAGATGCAGAATGACCGATCCTGGGGCTAGTATTAAACAGGTCCCAGTTAGTACAGAACAGCTGCCAAACATCCGATAAAATGGAGAATTGTAATATAAATGAATCCCTTTCTCTGACAAGTTTAATATTGGTAAGATGTAGCAAATTTTTGTATGCATGCAATAAATGAGATCTCTGCTATATTATATTCCTTCCCTCACAGCACACTGTTCCTTCCTAATGCTACTCCTACAAAATACTCAGAAGTAAGTCACAGCTTGTTTATGCCCGGAGATGTAACAGACTTCCCACAAAGTTATACTTCAATTAACTAGTGGTGGCAGCTGACCCCAAAACATCACAGGATAAGGAACAAAGCACACATTTCAATGTCTAGCTCTAAACTGAAATGGCCAGTGGAAGGATGGTTTTGTGGCCAAGGCACTAGACTGGGACTTTAAGTGGGAAGGAAATGTGGTTTCAATTCCCACCTCTGACATCATTTTCCTGGGTGATCCTGGCCAAGTCACTGACTTTCTCAATTCCTCATATTACTTGCCCAGGGTGTGTTATGAAAATTGTTGGTGAGGCTCTCATACTATGGTGATTGGGGGGGTGGGAGGTGTAAATACAAGATACACACAGCTTGCAGACATGAGTCTGGATTGTTTGGCTCAGTTAGACACCCACATAGAGGATTCCTGTGGCTAATGTGAAGGGCTAGAAAGGAGATCCTGGTGGAGAAGCAAGTATGAGTCATGGGGTTGAAGCAGTCTGGTTTGGCATTGTAAAGGAGTGGGTGTTGCTCTTCATCAGTTCTGCCTGAGTGTTGCTGGTAGACTCAATCATAGCTGCCACTGGGCATTTCCTCCTCCACAGTCACTTGTTGTCTTCTTCCCTCTGACTCTTCTCAGCCAAGAACAAGACTCTTCTCTTATTCCCTTGGGTATTTTGCTCTTCCATAGTTGAGTCTCACACGCCATGAAGGACAAACATGTCATCCTCCCTTGTTCTTCACCTACAGACTATGACAGAGAATCTCACTGCAGTCTAGATATATTTTTTTAATTTCTTGAGCATCAATATCCTGGGCCTTTTGCTTCCTAGAAGAGGTATGTGACAATCTCACAGCTGCTGAAGACCAGCTGCCAGACTGTCACTTGGTTCCTCCTTCTCCTACTGTTCTCCCCCCTCCGGAGGTTGTGCATCTGTGGGTCACAAAGGGATAAGCAGGTTTTAAAACATGTTCAAAAGGAACTTGGCAGCATCACATAGTCATTTAGTGCTGGGAATCTGACTAATGCCATTGTCTTGGGTCCTCCTCCACTCTCAGTGGTGGTCCTCACATATTTTCAGGCATATGCATGTTAAAATATTACAAAATATTTTACATTTTGCCACCATGAACAGTTGGAAGATTGAGTGAAGCCCCTTCACTCAGGACTTTAAGGTCTGACATACAGACAGACTTTTTTTTCCCCTCTTCATAAAATGGAAACATTGGGTGTAAGAGGTTCAGACCACAGCAGTGCTCTGTAGTTCAACAAACCTAGGGTAACTCAACCAGCATGTTCAGGAATGACTACCCACAGCCATCTCTGACCAAAAGCCCCACCCATACCTAAGAAGCAATCAATCTATAGCCTTCAGCTTGGAAATCTGGCTCATATACTGTGAGTCAGCAGGAACCCATATGGCTTAAAACCAAAATGAGATGGATCAGAAAAATGAACTCTTCCCGCCTGGTAAAACTGCCCTCTGTTCAACCTGGTACACAAACTGGACAAGGTGGGCAACTGAAAGACCATATCAAGGCTGGGGAAAGATCCAAACCAAGAAATCTTATGGCAGATCTTGCAAATGAATACGGATTTACAACACTGACTGCTTATAATCTTCAGTACAAAATCCTGAGCCACCCGCATACATTGAGGTGGCCTGTGGATGTCAGGGAGACCAATGAATTAATTTAATTGATGGTTTAACTTGTTAAATTAGTGACAGGTTGATCTTGGCAAAGGGCTACTGCAGACAATGAGCACATTGCCTACATACGGTCATAACAACAACAAAGGGTAAAATTAGCCTTTTAATTAACATGTGGGGCTATGGTCTTAACACGAGGTGCTTTAACACTGGGTGCCTGTTTCTGTGTGTTTAAAGAGTTATAGGGCTGCTAAGAATGATTAAAAGGTGGCACCAAGCCAGGAGATAACATCAGTGGACATCTGTTCTTCCATAAGGCTCTTATGCAAGTACAGTAAGTACAAGGGCAGGGCCTGTGTGATGACTTGCAGGGTGTGTGGTGGTTGAGAAACTGACAGCCTGACAATGAACAATGGGTCCCATGTGCAGGCCACCCTCTGTAGCTCCACATCCAGCGATAGATATTGCCACCAAATACCTGCCTAGTTCCCAGAGAGCAGCAGTCTCCCACATGGGTGCCCAAGTCCATTCACACTCCCTGCATTCCTTCCCCATCCCTCCCCTCAGACAGCACAGAGATATAAGGAATACCAAACACTATACCTGTTACAGGGACTTTACTTTCTTCCTCCTGGTCAGTCTCCTCCTCATCATTTTCCTTGTTACAAGGGCTACATCAGTCTCCATTCTGTGAAGTGGGTTGGAGGTTGTCTGGGGGCACCAGGCCTGGTACAGCTCTTAAAGGTACATGAGGTCCAATTTCTGCTAGGCTCTTGGTTGTGGTCTAATGTTCTCTGATACTAACCCTTCACGGCCTTGAATATTCCATCATACTGGTTGATACTCAGTTCAGTATCACATTTGGTGGGTCTTGCAGAAATCTGCAAATACTGTTAACTTCTTCCTAGCCAACTCCAGGTTTATTTGTATATTCTCCTGATCAATAGTGCAGTTAGGGTCCTGGTCTTGCTTGCCAGTGGCTCCTGGGTTTTGCAAGACATGATGTCTGTAGTAGCTGGTGCAAGAGCTTAGCTATCCACCAAAAATGGACAATGAAGCTTTGACTACAGCCAACAGAAGGTAATGCTGGTTATTTTTAAATCAGCCTGTCTGATCCTTTTTACTACACAGTTTATCATTATGAAATGGCTGGCATGGGGGAACAGATACTAAGGTGCTCCTACTGTGATGTGGGTGGCAAAGTAAATATCTATCAAAGGTCTTAAGAAGTCCTAATTGAAGAAAGAAAGAAAAAAAAAAAAAAGCATTTCTTATAACACATTGGAATGGCCTGCTACAGAAAAGAACCGTGAAACCCATTTACACAGACAAATCCCATCTGCACAGCAGTATGACAGTGCTATGACGTGGGTCCAGCCTGACAACTGTGCTACTGCAAAACACAGTTGAAATAGGCCAGCAGTAAGTTGAGCAATCACACACTGGTAGTAGTGGTGTGCATTTGTGCACGAGCAAGAACTACAGATGGAATCTACCATTCTAAAACAGTAAAATTTTGTAGTCTAAGCAGAACTCCAGCCACAAGACAATCTCATAGTTCCTCCTAGGTTTTCATTTCTAGGTGTGAGGAGAGCTGCAGGTTAAGCAGCTCTGGGGGATGGGATGGGGAAGCAATTTCAACCAGTAAGTAAATAGTGAGAAAGGCTTACCTATCAAGGTATGAAATACAGCAGCCACCGCACCAGCCACAACCATGCACAAAACTGCTTTGGTTCTGTCTCGTTTGCTGTTCACAAACACCAGACCCACATTCTTGAAGTCACTCATTGGACCTGTGAAGAACTTCATGAGGGAATAGGCCAGCCCGTAGCTGGCCAGCATTTCCACAGCATCTTCCTTAACAGCTGCTATGCCCCTGTTCAAGGCCTGTTGAAATACATAAAAGAAAGAATACTTCAAAATGCAGACAGTGTCTGGGAAAAAAAAATATGATGCAGTTTGTTTCCATAGAAACCAACAGTTTACCAAAAGTTAAGTCATAACCTCTTTTGATCTGTATTGACTTGACATTCTTTGGATCCTGCATGCAGAAATATAAAGTGACTGAAACATCAAAATAAATACTGGCAAAGTGCATAAGAAAACTTTTCCCACTCTCTATGGCTTCAATTTACTGTGCTGCACAGCTCTATTGTACATATGCACGGTGAGACAGATACCAAGTGTTCCAATTTACAATGGCCAGTAAGAAACTACAGAGGATTTAAATACATAAAGTGTTTCATGAAATAAAACATTAGTAATTTGTTTCTAAAGTTATCAAATGGAACCCCCTTATACTGAAGTGCAGTACTTTAAACAACTTTACTATATGAAATTGACCGCTGTGCAGAAGGCCGAAAAGTCCCATGTGAGGACTTAGGTGTGACTTTAGAAACATGTAGTCCAGGTTTGCCTTTTGCATGGGAGAGTGAAATTTTTACCCATATCCAAAGATACAAAACTGGAACTGCAGCTGGTCCATTATAATGCATTGAAATTACTTGGGGCTTAAAGTCCATTTCACTGTAAAAGGAGTTGTGCTATAGTCATGTTGACCATGAGTAGGTACCTGATTCTACACAATGGTGTTGTTTTTCATTAAACATAGCCAAATGTACATGTGGCCAAATATGTTGGTCTTCCTCCCATGTAATTTCATGTTTCAAAATAAGATTGAGACCCTGCACCCCTTGATTAAGCAAAATTCTCACAGCTTATTAAAAATAAAAATGAAACACAAAATATCTATATTTCAAGTTGTTCTTATGTTGAATAGTCTAGCAAATACCTTGCAGATACTGAGGGGGGGAAAAAAAGTGTCCTCCTGCTCAAATCTCCAAATAATTTAACAGATTATCTTCATATCTAAATTGAACCAAGAGAAAAATGCCATAACATTTTCCTCAGAACTCAGGAAAAGCTCACAGCAAGCACATTTCAAATGTGTTGACTAAATAGGACACAGTTTTGGTCTTCACTGCCATACCATCAATCACCTGAGGTATTCAGTAAATTGTGAAAATATGATTAGTCTCAAAAAGCACAAAGGATGGAATGATGACTTGATTTCATAAGAATTTAGTTCTTATGGGTCACAGATGAGACATACTGAGAGGTCCACAAAGAACTGACCAATCAGGAACATCTTTTAAGTCTCCCCTGGCTCCAAAACTGTAGTGTCTACCACTTATGTACCACCCCTGGCACTGAGCTTTGTTTGAAGGTAAAATATCTAAATTTGAATATCGTAATGTAACTAAGTTCAAGTCTTAGCATTTCAACATCAGAGTTCTGTGTGAAGCACCTACAAGCAGGCAACTCCCATTGGCTTCAACAGAAGTTGTTTCTGTACGTTGGAGGGCAGCATTTAGCCTCTAATATTTTTTTCCTTTTCCATCTCTGTAAGATGCTTCACTGCCACTTGCTGATGTTAAGACTAAATCGGTGTCTCCAGCATGACATAAAACTGCCGCAAGTTCTCCATACCTGATGCCCATCAAAACGGTCTCTTGCACTACACTATGCACTAAACAGGAAAAATGAAGTTCCATATTTTTCAGCCTTCTTGCTCTACTTTGTCCTTCTTCTCCCAGACAATGACCTTATCCCATCATGCGTAAGATGCATAAGATCTTCCCTCCTACTGTTACACAACTTCTTCTTGGGCCTGCATAATGCAAGTGCTGCACTTGACATGGGTGCAAATTATATCTAATCTTGCAGAGTAAATAAAACCCCAAAAGATGGCATCCTGGGCATGGAGGAGTACATAACATTGTGCACATAATTTGCTTACTACTTAGGAATGCTGTAGAAAAAACTGGTGGCAGCCATCCACCATGACAAGGGTCAAGCCCTTAGCCTGTATGATTCCCTCTAATAGCTGCATAAAAAAAGGAAGGATGTTAAAACTGTTTCAGAGCTTTAAGCTTGTACCTTGGCCACTTATACATGGGACAGTGGTATTAGGGGCTATGCCTTTAAGGGCTGAGCTTCCCAGACAGAGTCTGGGCATGGTGCTGTGCAGTTGGAACCAATCTCAGAATTGAGCAGATCTCTTGCAAGCACCGTAATCACTGAACTCCATCAGGGCAACAGCAGACATTGGTGCTGGTAGGGTCTCCTTAATGGACTGAGGATACCTATGGGATGTGATTAATGCAGTTCAGGACTTATTGGTCATATGGATAGCCTACTGACAACACACCTATAGTGCAATTTTTCTGACTTGGGGCATGACCTGAAATAATCCTACCTGCTAGGGACAAGCCTTCCCTGGTGAGCATGGAGAGTAAATAACTTCTGCAAAATGTGAAGCTTTCACTTATAAAGTCTTTCCTCTCATGCTCATGACAAGAAGGCACAGCTGTGGTGAGTATACTCTTCTTCCACATACTCCTTCAGAGCTGGTGGGAGGCTTAAATGATGTTTGTGAAGAATATTGTTCTGGTTATCAAAGGTAGTAATTTCTTTCGCTTCAACAAGAATCAGATCCTTCCATGCCTCTGCCAGCACTGCTAGTAACAGGGTAAATTTCCAACTTTTAGATAGAAATCAACAGAGGGTGCCTACTGCATTCTTTGAAGGGCATTATTTGACTTTTATTCTTCTCTTCCCTCCCATTGTCTTTTGTTTGCAATAAACTATGTCTGGTGGTTCTAATTTTCAGAGTAATAGCTAAAGCATTCAGGGCACTCTGCAACCTAAATTAATCCTGTCACTTGAAAACAAAGCTGCATATATTTTTAGGCATAATTCACGGTAGCAGGCACTTCCATCCTGTTAGGACTACTACTTGTTGTCAAGGCCTATGCAGGAGGGTAATGAATCTATCACCGACAGGGTAGCAGTTTATCTGAGAGTCTGTGCATTCAGTTGAGACCCATGCCTGTCAGTGGTTACCTAGATGGAAAAAGCCATCCAATCTGAGCCAAATGGGTCCATAAAATGCCAACGAGAATATGATCTCCGAGAAAACTATGGCCTAAGAAACTAGCAGACCCAGAAAAATCCTCATTACACATAGGGTACAAAAATTCACCCTGGATGAAGCTCTGAAGTCAACTGAATTTGGGGTGAATTTGGCCCATAATCACTTTGTGTGTCCATTTACCACATAACTAGGAATGGACAAGATGAGTGACTCTAGAGTGGGACTCTGCTCCCCCATCATATAAGACTGAGCTCAGACATTTTCTGTGGAAACAAACTACAACTAAGGAAACACACCTGAATTGCTATGGGATTCCCCCCACTACACACGCTGTGCACCAGGTAGCGTAAAGGAGCCCTACTTTATTAGAGGAATGTTGCCATTAAGTTGTCCTACTGAGGAACAGCTTGCTGACACGATGAAATCCCTCTAAGGTTAGACATGAGACAGTCATGTCCATAAACAAGGCACTGGAAAAAGTTTTTGCTGTGGAAGACCGCTTTAGAAAACTTACAATAAATGTAACGGTCTACTAGCTGCTTAGTTTTAGTAACTTCCTCCAGACAAACCACTCATTTTGACTGATGTGCCTCAGCAATTTCTTTTTCCATTTTCACATTACAGAGATGGATGGACAAACTATTCAATGACCCCTTTCAAACCCTGTGGATTGCATGTCATATTTGATACCCTTAAATCAATGTGAAAACCCAGAAACTTGGAGAGCTTATTCTGTGCATCATTTGAAAGATAAAAATGTTTGCTGGGTTCCATGACGTGCCAAACACTGGAAGCACTTGGTAATCTTCCAATTTAATTTCCTGCAATTACATTACCTTTTCAAAAAGTCATAAACCAAGGAACACTCTCCACTTCTTGTTGTATCACTGACTGCAGTTTGTGTACATGCTTTGTGCGCACAAAACCATTGACAAAACTGAACAAACAGCATCTGTGTTCCATATTTGTTCCAACCAAGTTACAATCTGTGTCCAAAAAGATCAGCATTATTTGTCAGATGAAACATAAGTTTTTCAAAGATATTTAGGCTTTGCTCAGCACTGTAATGCTTAACTGACTTGGAAGCCTACATCTCATTTTCAAAACTGACTTAGGCACTTCTCATTTTTGAAAAATGAGAATTTGGCTCCAAAGTCAGTTAGGAGTTGCACCCTGAATGGAGCAATGCCTAAATGCTTCTAAAATCTGGGCCAAAGGCCCTTATTGTAGGGTTGACAAATCATGCATCATTCAGTTACTTTTCCATTAGCTTATGACTGGTCAATTAGTATATTTTTTAAATCTCTTCTTGCCAGATTTGGATGGAACACCTCCAAGGAAAACAGAGATGCTTCAGGGAGTGGTGCTGGTAATTCAGGTTTCAGAGTAACAGCCGTGTTAGTCTGTATTCGCAAAAAGAAAAGGAGTACTTGTGGCACCTTAGAGCCTAACCAATTTATTTGAGCATAAGCTTTCATGAGCTACAGCTCACTAAATCGGATGCACACTGTGGAAAGTGTAGAAGATCTTTTTATATGCACACAAAGCATGAAAAAATACCTCCTCCCACCCCACTCTCCTGCTGGTAATAGCTTATCTAAAGTGACCACTCTCCTTACAATGTGTATGATAATCAAGGTGGGCCATTTCCAGCACAAATCCAGGGTTTAACAAGAACGTCTGGGGGGGGGGGGCGGTAGGAAAAAACAAGGGGAAATAGGTTACCTTGCATAATGACTTAGCCACTCCCAGTCTCTACTCAAGCCTAAGTTAATTGTATCCAATTTGCAAATGAATTCCAATTCAACAGTTTCTCGCTGGAGTCTGGATTTGAAGTTTTTTTGTTGTAATATAGCAACTTCATGTCTGTAATCGCGTGACCAGAGAGATTGAAGTGTTCTCCGACTGGTTTATGAATGTTATAATTCTTGAAATCTGATTTGTGTCCACT